GGGCAACAAGCTCCTCCTTGTCCCATTTCAGAGCCTTCATGTGATTGTTGTAATAACCGAGCCAAGCCTGGTAGATCTTGGCCTTCTCGCCCTCTTCCATAGTATTAATGATGGCCGAGACCTCAACAGCCGACGACGTATCGGCATCGTGCGGCACAAAGGTGATTTCTTTGAGTGTCCATTTGGGGAACCATGCTTCAGCCTCGGAGACAATGAAGATGCCGCGACCCTCGGCACTAGCGCGGGCAGTACGGCCGAGACGATGGATGTAGCTCTGCTTATCTGCGGGAATGCCCACCTGGAAGACGGTGGTGACACCGGGAAAGTCCATACCGCGAGCGACTACATCGGTGGCGACAAGAATAGCGGAGCGTGAATCACGATAGTCGTTCGTCACCTTGGTGCGCTTGTTCTGGGAGATGCGTGAGTGCAGAATCGAGACTGGCGGCAAGCCGGCAATTTTCTCGAGCACGAAACCGTAGAGATCGGCCAGGGCGGCTGTTGGAGCGAAGAGAATGGCCTTGAAAGCCTCATGCTGGCGAGCCTCCTCACGGATGGAGCCAACCATGGCGGCAGAGACGGATGAGAAGTAGGGAACCTTGATGAGCAGTTGAGGTACACGCTGATGGGTGTTGATCTCGCCGACGGGGATGGTCGAGATGAACTTGTAACCGGGAGACAGAACAAGGCCAGCGACCTGCTCGACGTGTGGGGCGATGGTCGCGGAGAAGAGCATACCCTGACGGTTGGTGGCCTTCTTGTCGGGCAGCTGGCCAACGATGTCGCGGAGAGCCTTCATGAATCCCATATCCAACAAACGGTCAGCCTCATCGAGGACGAGAGTATCAAGATGACGCAAGGCCCAGAGCACATTCTCGTTAGACATGTGGTCGAAGAGGCGACCAGGGGTGGCGATGAGGATGTCGCAGCCGCCGAGGATAGCTCTCTCTTCTCGATCCTTGTTAGTGCCACCGATGGCAATGCGGACACGGTATTTCGGCAGGCGTTGGAGCAGGTTGGTAGCCTCTTTGGCGATCTGCATGGCAAGCTCGCGCGTAGGCGAGATGACGAGCAGGGAGATACCGGCATCGGCGCCACGGTTCTGCGTGATCATGGTCTGTAGGGCGGGCAACAGAAAGGCGATCGTCTTGCCGGTGCCAGTCTTCGCCTGAACCAGGCAGTCGCTTCGGTTGGGAGGGAGTAATTCGTGAAGGGTGGCCGCCTGAACGGGCATCATGTGGTCGAACTTGAGGTCCTCCGTTATGGTCTTGACGATGGTGGGATGAACAACGTTCAGGTCGGCGAAGCGGGGGGTGTCCTGGGGAACAGGCTCGGTCAAAGGAGGTCTATCGTTGTCGACGGACATTTCTCTGCCTAGCTGAGGCTCGGAGTCTTCAGCTGAAGGCTGGATCGGCTGCTGAAATTCGTTGGCATGGTTGTTGTTGCTCCTGCCACCATGGCCATTTGTGTTTCTGGGACCGCGGGCACGTTGAGGTCCGCGTCCCCCGCGGCGGCGATCGCCACGGCGCTTCTGTTGGTCCATATGAAAGTAGGAGGCTGGCTGGCGAGTGTTGTTGATTGAGTGAGAGAGATTCGTCGTCGTCGTGATATTCGCGTCGATGGCTGTGCAATCGGAAAAGAGAGTAGAGAGAAGGAATAGGTGCAACAGGCAGTGAACTCTCGTTTGCAAGGGAATCTGAAATTTCTCCCAAACAGAAAAAAGCCCGTAGCTGACGTACTTACTGCTGATTGGGCTAGGCAGGTTGCTTCTGGACCCTTGGCTCGTGCACGGGGCGTGCCAGTAGCGATGGGGTCCGCTGGAACTTGGGAACCAAAGCAGGCACCTGCGAGGGTCCAAGCGCGCGCTACAGTATATTCCAACATCGTCAAGTCGTTTCTTGCCACTAAAACCAACTCTGGGCTCCAGGCGCGCCGCCAATAGTTACCCGCTCCTGGGCTCCCATTATCGGCGGCCATACAAGTACGTGGCACTAGGGGTGCCCACGTCAATTCGCGTTGCGCGACATACAACTAGGTAGGTAGGTAGGAAGCGTGAGATGGATCAATTGACACGCGTCTGAATTGTGGATTCATTATCTCAACCTTCACGGAAAGCGCCCTGTTGACATATGACCTATCTGAGGAAGCAATGCGTTGGCGCGGCGCGGCGCGGCGGAATCGCTTTGAGGCGCCCTGCACGGCTGGGTTCGCTGCGTGAAGACGTCGTACCTAAGCCCACGCCTTGAAGAACCGAGATGCCTGTGCAAAGGCCTCTTCCTTGGCAAACTTCTGCTGGGGTTCGGAGACATTTGCACGGACCGCGAAGCCGTGCCTGACGCCACTATACAGGGACGCCGCGAAGCCATGGCCAAGGTCGCCCAGAATGATATTCGTCTCGGTCTGCTGAGCCAAGGTGAAAGCCGGATCGTTCTCTGCCCAATGTCAGTATAGAGCAGGAGATGCGGAGCAAGGACATTGGGAGCGGTCTGCCTTACGGGTATTAGCGAGGCCGAGAGGCTGTTGGACTGCCTTGACCTCTTCGGTGGTGACAGCTGTTGGATGGGCGGCAAATCCAGCGTTCACTGCGTGCTGGCCATCGAGCACCCGAATGGCATACCGTCCGCCATAGCAGTATCCCGAAGATGCAATCCTCTTGACTTTGAGCTTATCCTGGAGAAAGGAAATAGCAACGTCGACAATCGGATCCGTGACAGCGGGAGGATGTTCGCTGAGGAACTTGGTCACGTTGAAATTGGGGTCACCCAGGACAGCTGGTGAACCATCGAATAGATCGGGAGCTACAGTCACGAAACCCTCGCGAGCGAAGCCGTCAACGAGACTGCAACGGTTCAGTGGCCGTTAAACAAGAGGGGCTGGATGATGCTAACAGTTTGTTCTCGGGTGCCTGGATACCAGTGATGTCTGTCAGGAACAAGACAGCGGCAGCGACGCTCTTTCCACGATGCTTTGCACTGGGCATTGAAACGTAGAACTTGACTAGACACTCGCTTAATCAGGGGTTCGGCTTGTACACAGTCGCGTGAAGCTTACCACCCTGGTATGTCACTTCCTTCCCGACAGGTTTACCGTGGTGTAAGTCGGAGGCTGTAGCTGCCAAAGCCCCGTGAAGGACAGTCGCCACCATGCCCATGAGAATGGTGAGTGTGTGGAAGGACCTCATCTTGTTCTGTCGCTATGTATCGCCTATGAAAATTCCCGTGACGGTGACGGAGCGCCAGTGTAGGAGTCTGCCGCGGGAGGGCCGCTCTATATGCATGCTTGAGTGAGAGCCAGCTTGCAGATTACAAATGTCCACCGAGTGAGCCGGCAGTGCAAGTGCATCCCTCTTCGGGGCTTGACTCAATGACGTTCTCAATCTATTCTCGAGATAAACTAAACCCCGCAACGGAAAATCACTTTCCGCGCTCGGCGCTTTTACCAGAAAAGGTATTTCCCGAGGTGACTTCGCTACGGCCACCATAGAATGTGCAACGGTACCTACCGTGCGTGCTTCGGCAGATGGATAGAACACCGCGCGCTGCTCCGAAGATCCATGAAGTGGCACATGCCAAGGCTCCCATGCCAAGTACGGACTGGCTACCAAGCTACATATGCTGGCTGATGCCGGAGTGGGCACACGGTGGCGGCTTGTCTGTTGTGGTCTTACTCACGGCAAATCACACCATACGTTCAGGATGCTGGCTGACATTCCACAGGGCATGCATTCATGGTCCAGCATTGGCTACGTCATTGGTAATTCAATCCTCATGTTTCAAGTCAAGACATCCATAAGCTACAGCTTATCGAAAGACTCAAGTGCCAATACTCTGCCGCCTATAGCTCACCCGCAAAATGCCTTCCTTCGGACTGAATAGGGCAGGAGCATGGTAGTGAGAGAGACTGACGCGTAGACGTGAGCCTGTATCACCCGCAAGAAGTCTCCATGTGTCATTTTTTTTTAACTGAATTTGCCGTGCTTGGGCCTCGCGAAACGGTACCATGGATAAAAGTGTCGATTGACGTTTTGCTAGGGTCTTGAAGAGCTTGTGTCAAGACCTTAAGACCAAACCTGAGATCGAGCAAGTGTTCTTGTATTGCTGTTACGTGCGCCGTGCGAAGCTTTCTGCAGTCGGCAATGATGAGCTGTGGCCGATCGCGGCTCGTACCACGAGTGACAGCAATCTTGCTAAAACCTTTGTGCACGCAGTAGGGAGGGATATCCCGCCAATACCACGTGATGCCCTTGTGACGACGGCTGTTTTCCCCGTGAGCGACCATAGCTGACTGGAAATGGGTGGCTCGAGCCATATTGTTGGGCTTCGAATTCTATATTGCTAGAAATGAAGGCTAATACTGAAATGAATCGTGCAATATACAAGCACCACTATCCCTCTCACAGAGCAACGGATAGTTACAAATCGCCCGAAGGTCTAGCAGCGGGGAGCACGGGCGAGCTTGATCGCGGACATCTCCACCTGCATCACGGACTTTTCGCGTCGATCATTACATTTAAATTATTGAAGCATGAGGTTGACTGGTGTGGTGTTTGTCATCGGAGATGGGCATTGACATATCACGCACGACATTCAATTCCTCTGCTCAAAATGCCATTGAGTCGCATAGCGCTTGATAGTCTGTCTACCGGTGGCATCAAAGTTGTGAAAAGGCGTAGGATTTCACTGGACATCTGATGACCAAACCCTCTTGCGATTTCGCCCCTCAATGCTGCACGTAGGAGGGTCGCATGTATAAATAAGTAGTGAATGTATAACAAATAACAACACCGACGTCAAACTCAACTCCATGGTTGATATTGTTCTTCGCGCGCCACCTCGTCGTCATGATATATATGGTAGGATACGTGGTGCTACGGAATTTCACACCTGATGATTTTACGCGCTCAATAAATATAGGGCCACAATGGGAAGGTATCAAGAAACAACAGTCTACGCTGTGCGCCGGTCCTAAGATATAGATCAAAACTCATCACCACAAAGTTTTCATGCTACTCCCCCCATGTTAAAAAGGCCCCGAGCAGTGCACACCCTAAGCGCATCATACACGGCCTGGCTCTCTGTCCGCCGAGCATGATCATCCTCCAAATTATCCTGTGCTTGCAAAATCTCAGACTTCGAGCGATCGAGCTTTTCAACCCGCGCTTGGCAGGCGCGCAACGCGGCGTCGGCCGCCTTACAATCATCCGTGGCTTGTGCGAGCGCCAGTTCCATAGAGCCTGCAAGCTCTTTCCGTGTCTTATCCGTCAGTCCGTGGGACTCTCCGACTAGGCGATCTCGTATACCGCGCAAGGAGGCCACGTTCTGCTCCTGCGCGTCAAGTTCCGTCTGCGCTGCCGCTTGCTCGGCAGAAGTAATGGAAAGTCGGTCCTGGAGCTCATCAACCGTCTCAGCTTCGGCATCACTAAACAGCTGCGCGAGGTGACGAGTCTGCACATCAATCTTCAGATCAAGGTCAGTGTTTTGAGACTCGATCGCTGTGACGACTATGGGTAGCCTCGCAGCGGCAGCGGCGATATGTCGGCCGAACACGGGATCAATTGTCGCCAGATAAGCACCAGTTGAGCGGGTCGAGTCGCTGGCAACACTATCGTTGGTCCCATTCGTCTTCTCTCGTACTGGGGCTGGAGCTGACACGGGTATCGAAACCAGAGGTGAAGAAGACGGCACAGTTCCGGACTCACGACGGCGGACCGGGGGTTTGGCGAACATTGGAGATGATGAGACGGCCGTGAGGCTGGGTCTGGCGCTTGAGAGACGTGGAGGGATTACGGCACCTGGGGTGCGACCTGCTCTGTCAATGCGCTGGCGCTTGTTGCGACCGCTGGGCGTCTCTTCCTCGATGGCGTCCCTACTGCTGCTGTTTCGACTGCGACGGCCGGGTCTTCTCGGCGGCTCAAGAATCTCGTCCAGGTGCTCGATGCTCATCGAGACTTCGTCTTCGTCCTCAGCGCCGGCTTGCTCGCGGAGAATCGCAGACTGGCTGCGCACGTTGCGCTCGGCGCTGGAACGCTGGCTGAGGGTTCTCGGGATGAGATGCTTGGCTTCATCTGACTCTTGCAACGCCACGGCCATGACTGAGGGCGGTGTTTGTGGCTTGCTGAGCGGTAATGTGCTGGCGCGTTGAGAGTATGGCTGTCGTTGAATGGAGGACAAGGCAAGGGCCTCAAATTCCAACTCGGCGTCACTGGCGTCGTCGTCGTCGTTGCGACCAAGAGAGAGGAGGCTTCTACCGCGTGGCCTTTCATTCAGTCCACCGAGGTATGAGCTCATGTCGTGAGCGGCAGATCTGGGTGAGGTGTTGCGAGCAATCAACAGATGCCTGAAAGGGGGTGTAGCTCGAGCAGTGAGATCTAGCGAAGATAATTTTCTTAAAATAATGACTCGAAGCACAATACGATAGTGATGTTCAGAAGCGCCTATGTACGGTTCGCTTAGTCTTCGTGATTGGGGTCGAGGCGATCATGAGGGTGGCCGTTTGATGACCTCGTCAGGCACGTTCTGCTCGCCGTCGGATGAAGATTCATGGCCTAAAATTGCAGGACTGTAGCTGACTCAGCAGATACACGCGTCGACCAGGCAGTTTACGCGCCACACCGCGAACTTTCGCGTATCCCTGTTACCAACACGTCTGTCGTCCGTACCTACCAAGCATGAGCAACAAGGCATGATGCATGACAGAATGTGTTTAGTCAAGACTATCGAATATCTCGCAAGCTGGCGTCTGAGTATGGCGCATCAATCATAAGGCCGATATAGAGCAACCTGTTTTCCACCACTAAGCAAGATCGACTTGCTGCCCCGTGAAGCAGACATTCGCCATTACGGATGTGGCTCCTGCTAAATTATCGACTCCACTCTGTCCAGCCAGTCTTTAATGCCGACCAGCGCCTTACGAAGTATGCTCGATTTGGGGGGCATGGGGAAAGTGCCACCCCTCCGTAGCCTCCTCATCCCGGTGCTCGTGGTGGCCTATGCGCGCCTCTTGTTGACTGCCGCAGCTTTGGACATACCTTAGTAAATGCTTGTTCTGAGAAAGGCAGAGGAGCATCTCACTTACTCTCTTCATCATCCATGTGGGTGCGCTTCTTACTGGCTGGCCGGGATTCCCGACTGACAGTAGAGCTGTTGTTATCGAGACAAGCCTGGGCCTCGCTCTTGATACGACCAAATACGTGTTGCATGGCCTTGGGCGTACGACCAGGAAGCTTTATTTTCGCCATGTCGATTCTTGCTGGAGGATGCTGTAGGATGATCTGGATGAGGAGTTGAACCTGGGGATACTGTGAGTACGTGCAGTTGAACCATTGGAGAGAATGAACTCGTACCCGCTCTTTATCGGTCCAGCTACCGGACTTGGGAGTCTCCGAGGGAGCGTTACTCGACATGTTTGAATGGCGAAAAGTGGTTAGATGGGTTAGTTATTGCTTGTGAGAGTCTAATGGGAGTATCGACCGCTGTAGTTAAGGTAATATGGAAATAATGGTATGAAGAAAGCTTTGCTGAAGGTTCAGGAAGGGGATGGTTGGAAAGGGAAAGAGGACCTGGAGTAATGACAAGCAGTCGCGTTATGGGGTTCCAGTTTTTGGTGCTGCCTGGATAAGTACTTCAGGTTCAGCAGGAACTTGAAAGGTCTTGTGAGTCCCGAGACTAAGAGCATTGGCACATTATCCAGATGTTGACTAAGGTATCTCGTGTTGATGAGAATTGCCGCTCCTATTCCTGCCTACCTAGGTGTTCCATTTGATTTTGGTATAATCATTTTCCACCTCTCAGATGATGATGGCTCTTGTCATACACCCACCTATCTATTCTAAAACTCTTGACTGCACGACTGCAGCTCCAACACCACAACTCTGGATTCTTTGCCGTTTTGCTGCCCATTCCCAACCCTCTGTACAGTAACTTTTGAGTACGGTCCTTTGTAGCCCTCGAGACATTGCAAAGTCCCGGACTCACGGCCTACGTCTACCACTTCATCATTGCTTCTAACTCGATTCGGCCATTCACCCAATATGTGGCCTGGAGATGGGCCGTTGACGACCCTGACATCGGGCCCTCCTTGAATGCCTCTATTTGCGAGTCGATTAGATCAGGTCTTTTCAGATAGAGTATCTAGGGCCGCAACCTAGTGGTATAAGGAGGATGGAAAAAGGCCAACATACCAACAGAGCATCTTTTCTCGCAAATTCTTCGCGGCAAAGGCTGCAGGCAAAACGTTTCCCTTGACCATGTACATGCATGTGGCGCTTTCTATCATGCTTTCTTTGAAACCTGAGTCCACATATTGGGCAGCTAAAAGGCCGTGTTTGAAATGGAGCCGGTGGCGGGACAGTTGGATTAATAGTTCCTCCTGATGAGGGACCCGGCGGTATATCTGGTGGACCCATCGACGCCACAGGCATAGCTAGATTGTGGTGCTGTGGGCTGTGGTTCGGGTGTAAGCTTGGAAGACCGGGTGCATTTTGGGCCAACGGGGGTAGTAGTGCGTAGTTGACGGCAATCCCATGTCCAATCTGGAAATTGTGTGCTAGGTACTGTAGTTGCCCCTGCGTTGAAACTTGCGGATATACCCGAGCTTGCTGCTGGCATGGTATTCGGGACGGGAACGGACCTAGCGCCTCTGTCTGCGGCTGCTGGAGGGATAAATAATTTTGTTGCTGATGCTGAAAGGGAACCTGAGCTTGGACATGGTACGGCGCTTGATTATGAATAGGCGCTGGTACCTGCATCTGCTCCTGCATCTGGGCCTGCACCGGCGTCAACATCGGTGGCTGGCGAGGCGCTGGATGCCGGGCGTTACTGAAGCCACTTGCATTCGACCATGTTTGTTGCCAGGGTAAGTCCTGTAATGGCATGGAGGATGACCACTGTGTCATTGTACCAGCTGTGAAACGAAACCAGAGGTGTTTTCGGCCAAGTCGTACAGTTCTGTATCAAGATAATCGATTTGCACAGTTGTTACGTCCATAAGAACAATTCAAGACGAGTATCAGCAGCTAGGAAATCCATTTATACCTTGTACATGTGTGCGGGTCTTGTACGCCTTCGGAGACGCTGACAGCAAGGTGTCGACACACTGGAACTCTGAATCCAATACGCTGTTCTGGTCACAAGTTGCAAGAAAATTTTCACCATACAATTCAGAACCATCAGGGTCCAGGCGACGCTGCAAAAACACCGAAATGGCCCGATCATGCAACATGTCTCTTCCCTGGATGCGAACTTGGTTGAAATATCAATTTTTAGGCCTCGTTCCTCACGCAGAAGCGATACCCCGAAGAATGCCCTTGTAGGCAGGCTTCTTGTTGTACTCATCGTCCCAGGCAAGCGCCGCACCTTCACCGTCAAAGGTATAAGGGATCCAAGAGTACTTGTCCGAGATGCCCTACAGAGGTCAGCAAATGTCATGACGGAGAGGCGAGACCAGACGCAACCTACCCAGAGGGTAACACCGATACACCGGTCGTTGGACATGCAAGAGGCGAGAACGCGCTCGTATTGGCGAGCCTGCTCCTCGAGCTTGGCGGGCGTGGCGGGGGTATTCATGCGGATGTCAATTTCAGTGTACTCGACATCCACCTCGAGGTCGGTGAACTGTCGGAGAGCACCTTCCAGGGTGTCCTGGTCTGGAGTGGAAACAGATTGAGTGGGAGTCTCCTCAACGACCAGGTGGCCCTGGAGACCGACGCCGTCAATCCGTACGCCGTAGGACTGGACGAGCTTGACGATGCGAGCGGCAGCAGCCGTCTTAGCCTCGTTGTACTCGAGGTTGTAGTCGTTGTACCAAAGACGAGCGTGAGGGTCGGCCTTGGCGGCAAGGGCAAAGGCGATGGGGATGTAGGCCTCGCCGATGGTGTTGTAGAAGACACTCTTGCGATACGAGCCGTCTTCTTCGAGGGCTTCGTTGACCACGTCCCAGTGGGTACACTTGCCCTTGTAACGGCCAGCGACGCCGTTGATGTGGTCCTCCATGATCTGGATGAGGGTGGCATTGTCGAAGCCGCCCTCGGAGACCCAAGGGGCGAGCTGGCTGTGCCACACAAGGGCGTGGCATCTCAGGTCCTTGCCGTGCTCGACGGCCCAGTTGACGTGGCGGTCGGCATCAGCCCACTCGAAGGCGCCGCGCGCAGGCTCGGTGTAGGCCCACTTGAGAGCATTCTCGGGGGTGACGGCGCCGATCTCGAGGTCGCTCTCCAGGATTGCGTTCTCGAGGGGCTCATCGCGAAGCGTCAGGGCCGAGCCCACGTGCTCTTTGCCTTGGGCACGAATGGCCGCATTGAGGCCGGTGCACTTGGGCTTGGCAGCCGCGAGGCCAGCAAGACCGAGGGTGAGGAGGGAGAAGTGCATGGTGGGGGAGAGGGGCAGGTATGGAGGGCGATGATGCGAGGCAAGTCGAGTCGGTGCTCAGACTCTAGAATAGAACCTGTCACGATGAGCAGGAGGTGCCCTCTTTGTAGGCCCGGCATTGCCTTGGTCTTGCGGGGCTCTCTCGACACCGACAGACATCAGGCTGTAATGTTGCCATCGGCTGGTACCGAGAGATTGCCCCCTGCCCGTCCAGCCAGGTCGCTGCCCAGCGTGGGATAAAGTCGAGGTCGGGGCACATTGCTGAATCTGGGGATGGCGATGGGGTCGATGGAGTCGATGGAGAGGGGACAAGCCCGCTTGGCGTTGGGGATTTTCTGCGCCGGCGTCCGGGTGAATGCAGTTGGCTAATATGGGGGAGTCTGGGGCGATGTCACACTGCCGGGCCCGCTCCTCAATTAGCCATGCCACCTCTATTTAGGCAATACGCGGCCCCTGAAAATGGTGATGTTGCTAGGTCACGAGAGAAGCCGTGTGGTTGGTCTTTGACCACGTTGAGACCCAGTCGAGCGGTCGGGCTCCCACACTGCCCCTGGCACCTTCTCCGCACGAGAGACGCATTATTTGTTTGTTCCTGGTCCTGAATTTGTGTCGCTTGTTGACCTCGGCTCTCCTACATTGTCGTCATGAAGTGCGGGCAGGGAATGCAAGTCCGTATTCATTACCAAATCTACGCCCAACGCCAATGCCATCCAGATCTAGAAAGTCTACACGCCTCCAACGCCATTCAAGAACACGCCTCCAATATCATTCCTCCGAACAACCGCGGGAGACATCACTCCTCCTTGTGTATCTCGATGCCAGCCGGGGCTCCCACCAACGTCTTGCACTGCGCGTAAATGACAAACTGGCCAGCGACGAGGCCGCACGTCATGAAGACCCTCGGCCCCAGTCCCGTCAGCAGCAGCCTCTTCGGACCAAACTCCTTGGCGAGCTGGAACATGCGGCTCGTGGCGCTCTGCTTGGGGTCGCCGGCTCCTTTGTTCATGGCAGAGAGCAGTGTGTCGGCTGGATGAGACAGCACAGCGGCGGCCACACCAGCGACTATGCCAGAAGACAACTCAACGCCCGTGTTTTGCAGGTGTGTCAGCTTCTCCTTGCGTTCGGAGCCGATGGTGCGGTAGATGGCCTCGACAGCGGCCTCGTGCACGGAAAACTGGCCCACGGCGTAGGGCACCTGCTTGAACAGCAGCGGCACGAAGCCCGAGTAGAACCCCTTGAACCCTTCCTCTCGTGCGAGTCTCGCGAACCCAGAAGTCAACCCGTTGGCGTAGCCACGCTGCGAGACGAGACGGATGCGCGTGGCCTCAAGGGGGCACAGGAGGATGTCGGCGAAGAACTCGGCTGCCGCGCTGGCGCCGAGATAGATGGCCGTGCGCTTCTCTGTCGCCTGGCTGGGCCCACCGGCCGCCGAGATGAACTGCTTTTTGAAGAACTCATAGCCGGCGAACTTGCCGCCACCCTGTACGAGGTATCCGACGGCTGTAGGACCGAAGCCAGTCAACAACGCCGATGCGCCTTCCTTCGCGACAATGGTTCTTCCGGCTCGCAGCATGTTGTAACCCTTGAGCGCGTCATCGACCTGGATTCGCGTCTTGACGACATCGATTGGCGTGGCAGCCTGATACATTTAGCCTTAGCCGGAGGAATAGAGAGAAAGCAGGAAGCATACGCCATGGGTAGAGGTGGCTGCGAGGGCGCCAGCCCCGAAGAACTTGACATAGTCGCCAATGGTGAAAGTCGGCAGCTCGTCCTTAGTCGCCATTGTGTCGTGTCCGTCAGAGGAAAAGAGGGCGGGATAAAAGTAGGAGGCTTTCGCGCAGAGTTGCAAGAGTGAAAATAAAAACGAGGCAGCGTGATCTACTATAGTGTGTGAGATCAGCCAGGAGCGAAAGCCTTGCTTGTTTCCAAGAAGAAGAGGCTTGACAAGGGTTTATCCTCAATTGATGATGCAAACAGCCAGTGACGTCACATGTCCGATGGCCGGGTAGCCCGTACGCAAGGTCCCGCCAGAGCCCTGCTGGACACCCACTAAAAGCTCCCCCTCTGAACTGTTTGCTATTCCGGGGGCTGGGTCGACTGGCCTGACACGTTCTCCTCCACAGCATGTGCCTATGCTGTCAGTGAGGGCATTCCCACTGTTGGTGCCGTCTATCCGTTATCCATCCGACGGCGTCCCATAGCTTTACCATCGTAAAACCCGCCATCCACGCCAGCTCGGGATGCGCGGGCGCTTGCGGATCGACTCGGCAATTGAGCAGCCACATCAAGAAATGAATCTGTTGAAAATCGCCCTCTGGCGTCATCCTCCCCACCTTTCTTCAACTGACGCCTCTCCGTCGGACATCGCGACGAACAGTCCGCCGTCGAGTCCTACTCCGACAGAGGCACAGAGAAATCGTACATGGGCTTCTCAAGTACAAGAATTTCTAGAGGTTGACCTTGATTCCATTTGTCCCTTTGTCTCAAGAAGGCACTCCAAGACTTCACAGGGCCCCTTTCTGAAGCCATCGTCAAAGCATTTGACCCTTCATGATAATTCAAAACACTACGTTCAAAGGACTCCACCTGGCCATAAGCTACGCTGAAAACTGTCAATTCCCATGATCGCTGAACAGACCAGCTTCTCTCAAGCACCTATTCGCTCATCTTGGCCACTCCCTTGACCCCGATTGAACATTGCATACATAACCGCTCGAGAGGTCTCATGATACATTGCTGGTGATGGACTTCGAACTATGTAGCTCAGGTGGCATGTGGCTGGCCCAGCGAACAACAGGAATTGTCTCACTCACCGCTACACTCGATTGGTCTTTAACCATCAGGATCATTATGTCTGCCTTTTTGTTGGTTGTTTACTTCTGGTAATTGAAGAGCGAGCCCAGCTCAAGCTATCAGCAAACTCTCAAAGGCAGAACATCATCTCATGCGAAGCTTTTAGGTTGCCAAGCGTGTTGTTCGCCCGCCGTGAACAGTGATATGTATGATCAAGATACCCTGCACACCAAGATGATGGCTGTTGTCGAAGATCACGACGTATCCAGCAGAACTAATGTGCGCTAGGAAATCACAGACCTACATTGACGAGTTTCAGTGCTGGCATCATTAGGTATAATCACTGAGCGCCTGAGACTTCATCGCATTTAAGCGCGATGTATCTGGGCGAATGGTTGATATTATCACGGGAAAAATCAGTACCAACGTCACGCATATTTAGAGGTTGATATATGACCCTGTATTCAACTCTCTAGCTCACTGGCCGCTCGTCTTCGGGTCTTTCAGCCTACTAACTGATCATGCATCCCGCTTCGTCCATCCTCCAGTGCCCGCTTTCCAGTGCCCAGTTTCTCGTTATCGTTGTCCGGTTCTTTCTATGGAGTCCGGTCCGGGGCCCAACTACCATCTTGATCCCCGTCCGGCGGTCGTCCCGGGAACCTTCTTCGGTCTTGATATCACCCTTGCAAATGGGAAGTCACCCAACCCTCTCTGTCTCTCTCCCTTTCTGTCTCTATCTCTCCAAAACTCAGTTCTCACAAAGCTTTCCTCTGTTTTCGTCTACTCCTTCATCACTTCCACCTCCCCGTGACCTTGATCATGGCTTCTGCGGGAGCTCCTGCTGCCACTGGAGACTCGATCGAGCTTCCCATCGTGGACAACGACCAGAACTTCATCATCCGGGAGTGTAGCAACGCGATTGCAAAGCTCATCGTTCTTTCCAAGAGGCAGCAAGCGCCTACCGATGAGGTTCGCCGAGTGATCCTCTTCTTCAACTGGCTGGAGACCCGGACTTGGGGACCGTATCACGTTACGGCAGATATCAAGAAAAAGCTCATCAATAGTCTTGCCGCCATCAACAACAATAACCGTCCTGAAGGCCTGCGATACTTCACACCCGAGATTCGGACTCGAGCCGAGGCTCTCCATACACGCTGGACAGCCACCAACCTCGAAGACGAGATCGTTGCCACTGGTTCCGACGACGACGGCGATGATGGCAGCGGCACTGAGGTTATCGTAGCCTCTTCGACCAGGAAGCATTCCTCTACGGCTCTCAACACCGAAACCCTGCGTCTGCCCCATCGCGCCCATCCCATCTTTGGTCGAAATGGCATCATGCATGGCCTCTTCATTACTGGTTCAAAGCGTAAGACATACGGAATCAACCCTATCTACAAGAACGAACAGCGCGACTCCTCCCAAATCGGCGACAACGGGCTCACCGCCGGCGACTGGTGGCCTCTTCAGTCGGCGGCCGTCTTCAACGGCGCTCACGGCTCGTGGTCTGGCGGTATTGCGGGCAAAAAGGAGGGCGGCGCCGTCTCGATCGTCACCTCGGGCTACTACGAAGACCTTGACCGAGACGACGGGGACACTCTTTTTTACTCGGGCTCGGGAAGCCACGACAATACGAACCCCACCGTCATCAAAGATACCAGCGGAACCCAGCTGATGCGTACGGCCCAGAACAAGGGTAATCACATTCGCGTACTGAGGTCGTCCTCGAGCGGTGGTGGTTCGTGGTGCCCCTCCATCGGCATTCGCTACGATGGCCTGTACGGTATTGTTGGCAGACGGACTCTCAAGAACAGGCTGGGCGGGGTGTACGAACAGTTTGAACTCCATCGCCTGCCCGGGCAGCAAGCTCTCAACAGCATTCAGCGTCGAATTCCGACAGGCCAACAGAAGCGTCTGTATGAGGAGATGAAGAACGGTTACTAGGGGCTGTCGAGAAATGTCTTGCGAGGCTGTCACTGAATCAAGGGACTTCGATTGGCATGGCTATGGAATGGTTTCGTGTTTTGGTCTCTTTTTCAAGGTTATTCTCGTTACGGGTCTCATTCTCTGGATGGACTATAGGAATCTTGATTCGTTCGTCCTGCATCAATGATCAAAACCGTTCTGTTGTCCTACTACTACCTACCCACACTGCGTGCGGCGCTTCGAACTGTGACTCGCAATGAGCTCCTACGTCAGCATTAGCCCACCCCGTGGCGACCAGAGTTGAATAGCGAAAGAACAACAGTATCCTAAGGACACTAAGTAGGTTGTAACCCTACTTGTGGTTGCGAACCCCTGAAACTTGAAGGCACCTCAGGTAAGAGGTGATGTTGAAATTTACGGGATTTCTGCTCGCGATCTGGTCACCGTGTTGGTGGTTATAGGAAGCTGTAAGGAACCGATATGTCATTTTTCACGTATGCACGTGCGAAATGACGGCCTCTTGACCGACAAGTGACGAGCGACTCATACGGACCAAGACTTGGGTGTCACCGAGCATCTCGGGTAAAATAATTCACAGTGCGACCCATTCATCCCTCACGGTACAATGACCCTACGATAAGGAAGGCGGTGGGCGATAAACCTGGCAGCCCGGCAGAAAGACACTTGTTCATTCTTGGGAACATGCTCTCGAGGACAGCGAAGCTACCAAATAGGACTCCAACTTCCATACCCCTCGACTTTGCGCCTGTTCAATATTCGTAGCCATGGTATGCTACCCACTTGAGGACTCCACGGCATTCCCGCTGATGCTTCCAGAACGTCTCCTACAACTCGTCGCTTCGGCAGAGCAAGGCGCTCCGTGCCGACATCGACCGCTTGTCAACAGCAACCCAGGACCGAGTGCTTACACCAGCCGAGATTGGCAGCCTCTCTGCCTCGCTTTCATCCTTCTCCAAGACGGTCGATGAATACAATGGTCTGGCGCGGCAGGAGCTTGTGCCAAAGAAACAAGAGGAGGCACTGGAGCGAGTCAAGCGGTTCAAGGGAGATCTGACAGACTTTCGATCGCGCATCGACACCCTGAAGAGACAACGCGAAGATGCTGCCCACCAAAATAATCGAGCCGAGCTACTTGGTCGGCGGCCGTACTCTGACGCCACGCCAGAGAACCCTTACGCCAACAACAGCGCCGCAAACACATCCTCATCCTTGCACGCGAGGGGTGCTTCGATCGGCGGTGCGGAGAGGGGCGCAGGCGGAGGGGGCTACGGCATGGGCAGCGGCGAGCCGTCCAGGGAGCAGCACGCCTTCCGGGAGCAAACTTTCTTCGCCAACACGAACAACGCACTCGATGAGTACATTGCCCGCGGGCAGGCTGTGCTGGGAGATCTCGGGGCTCAGAGGGACATGCTCAAGAACACGCAAAAGAAGCTCTACTCGGTGGGCAACACGCTGGGCATATCCGGCGACACAATCCGCATGATCGAGCGCCGGGCGCGGGAAGACAAGTGGATATTCTGGGCGGGCGTCATAATCTTCTTCGCCTTTTGTTGGCTCTGCCTGCATTTCCTTAGGTAATGGCTGCTCTTTTGCTTTCGACAGCATGGGCAGCGAGGCGCACGGCGTTTGAAGGCAGGCTTTTTCTCGATACAATACCATTGCGACTCTGAAGTCAGCGCCCTACTCCGTCCCCGCAAGTGCAATGGTGAAGATGACCTGATTCGTCGTCTCGACTATTACCGTCTTGGTCTCTGGCAGCACGTGATTGCTGGTGCTGATGCGACCGCCAAGGTGTGTTTCCCAGTTCTCAACATCCCATTCAAGGCCATGAGTCGTGATGACACTGGGTTCACCGAGAGGCACAATACCGACATGCTTTGCGAAGACGTCGCCGCCGCCGCCGTCACGGACGTGAATGGCATGCTTGCCGGGCTTCAACAGGAACGTCAGGCTCTGGCCCGACAAAAGGAAGACGCGGCCCTGTTCGTAACGGGGCCCCGGCTGGAAGAGATACATGTGATGTAGTTGGCTGATGCCTTGGTCAACGCGGCCACCAAGACCACCGAGTGCTACTATATCGACGTTTGCGCCGTTCTTTGACCGAGCCCAAGAGACAGCCTTGGTAAAGTCCGTGGATTCTTGATCGCTGTCGTGGATAATTTCCGCCGGCTCATCTTGGAATGCATAGTGGTGGCGGACATTCGGTAGAAGGGAGTCTAGGTCGCCGATGATGGCATCGAGATTGTTCTGGCCATATTAGTATGTGAAGGAGCTTGTAGGTCTGAAAAACCAACATATCGTCTTGTAGCATTCTGCCCATCCAAGTCAAATAGACGGTTCGCCCCACCATCAGCCGCTATGCGCACGAGTGCTTCATCACGTTAGTACTGGACTGCAGAAGTTTAACATTGAAGTACCATTTTCCCACAACGTTCCAAAAGCTTGATTCTGTCTGAGGGGTTGGTTGAGAATGACGAGCGAGAATGGCGCCCGTGGCTGTGAGTCTGGTGGTTGTCTAAAGAGCACTGTCGGATGCCACTCGAAGTCTTGTGACATCTTGAGTGAAAAAGGGCAATGCGGATGCTACATATGGCGACACACAAGCAACGGATGCATTCAATCGAGGTCATCCACTCGCCACGTCATGTATGTTGAATATGAACTCGACCGCAATCTTACCTCTTGTCTAGGTACAGTGGCAGCTAATAAGTGAAATCCCAATATTGAGCGTATTCTCGCGGGGCCTGCCCCACCACGTTAACCTTATGAAGGCAATTCACACTTGCGCCGGCTAAATATCGGCTGGTGAATGGAGCTGGGATTTTCTTTCCCCGAGCCATGTATCGATGATGATTACCAACCGTGGACCTCCGTGGCTATACTTCGATCCGTACTTGCGAGAATTGAGAGCTCCCCTTGACATCTCCTCACCCGACATTCATTACTAAATCTTGCACAATGTATCGTCACACCGTCCGATCAGCACCTCGCGCTGCCAGCGCCCTCCGCCAGACGACTCTGCGGTCTACGCCACGCCGATTTGCGTCCACAGCTCCCGCCGACAAGCCACGGACATGGAAGGGCAGCGCCTTGCGCTGGGGTCTGGCTGGTGCCGCCGTCTACTACTACAACACGAGTCCCGTCTTTGCCGATGAGCCGGCGCGTATGGAACCCAGTCTCCTATCGGCCTTTGGCCCTGCTAATAGAGGAATAGCTCGCACGATACCGGCACCTTCAGACTTTGCCGCTTCGGATCTCAAGACGGTTGACGCCGTGATCGAAGAGAAGCGCCAGAAGACGATTGTCAAGCCCAAGGAGGCTGCCCCCGCCGCGACTCCCGCGGCTCCCATTCCGTCAAGCGAAACTGCCTCCGAACAGTTGACAGCTGCACCCGGGTCTCCTGAGGCGCTCGAGCAAGAGGCTGGCCAGCAGGGCGCCTTCAACCCCGAAACGGGCGAGATCAACTGGGACTGCCCCTGCCTTGGAGGTATGGCTGATGGACCCTGCGGCGAGGACTTCAAGACGGCATTTAGCTGCTTCGTATATTCGAATGAGGATCCCAAGGGAATCGACTGCATCGAGAAGTTCCAGTGAGTCAAATACATTGAACGAGCGAGATTCAATCTAACAGATGAACAGGGGCATGCAGGACTGCTTCAAGAAGTATCCCGAAATCTACGACCCCGAACTCTCCGATGACCGCGAAGACGAGCCTGTCGCCGACGGCAACGCTGGCGCCGAGCACGAGCCTGAGGTTGCTTCCCAGAACCAGACAACCGAGACTATTGCGGCCAAGGTCAATGATGCCGTCGAGAAGACGACCGAGAAGGCCGCAGAAGTCATTGAGAAGACCAAGGTTAAGGTTGCCGACGTGAAGGAGAAGGTCATCGAGAAGGCCACCGAGGCCAAGGACAAGGTGTCCACAAAGTCCAAGCCGACCCGGATCCAGTCTACAGATGACACCGACCCAAAGCAGGCCGACGAGGCTATCAAGGCTGACATCAAGCCCGCCTTTTCGGATGCGACGGCGGCCAACGACGAGGTTGCAAAGCTGTGAGACGAGGATATATGATGGGGACTAGGGCACGGAAAAGCAATGCATTATACGGCGGGGAGCCTGGACATAATGTATTATATGTACAGTCTTGTACAACTGTAACAACAAGCCACGATAGACAACACCTTTCGACACCTTCTCTGGACAGACTATGCGATTCAACCATTTGTTGTAAAAAGTGATATAGAACGATGATCGCTAACGAAGCGCTGGGCTTCAATATGGAGCACTAAGATAAAGCCTTTGCCGCCGTTGAAATCTGTCTATCAATTCCATATGAACTGAAGTAGGTACCTCAATCATGGAAGACAACAGGGGCTATTCCGCGGATGCAATGCCCCGTCGCCCCACCTGATTGGCCCACCCAGCTCGCCAAGCTGCACGAGCCGCAGACGTCATCACATGTGCCCGAAAGCAGCAAGTTGGCAGTAGCCAGTCGCACCACACCACCTACGTCGTGTCCCGGTTTTCCCCTTCACGTGGGAGCTCTTGTGATCTTCATCCTCAATCACATCACCATCACTCTCAACTGTCACATACCGCGCCACTCCTCCGCAATACCAAAACACCCTCCAGCAATTCCGATATACCCAGCTAGTCAAGAGTATGTGGTGGCGTCCAACGTCATGGTCAAATATCTACTGACGGCACCCTAGTGTCCGGATCTGAATCGTGGGCCGACGTCGCCTCCAAGGGCCCCCAGCAGACCGCCGAAGAGGTAAGTCGCGTGATATATCTGCGTTCGCTGTTCTTCTGGTCTAGGCACTGACATATCAGGCCCGCGCGCCCCCTCCCGTCGAGGTCCAGACCGACGCTGAGACGTCGACCTCGTCCCTCGTCGACGTCGACAGCGAGTCCGTCCGCACCGTCCCCTCCGATTACCTTCAGCAGGAGGTGCAGACCGAGACCCAGGCCGATCGTATCGACCGCGAGGAGAAGGCTCGCGCCGAGGCCGAGCTCGCCAAGAAGAAGGCTGCTCACAAGGCCCGCCGTGCCGACAGCTGGCTGACGCGCCAGTTTTCCTCCCTCAGCGACGGCAGCGCTGGCGCCCTCGCCATTGTCAATCTTGTCGGCGTCGTGGGCCTCAGTGGCTTCCTTGGCTACCGCGCCTGGGGTCTGTACGAGCGCGGTCGCCTGAGCTGGCAGAACGTGGGCGTTGGCCTGGGCGTCCTGGGTGTGGTTGGCGTCGTTGAGGGCATTTTCGGAGGGTGAGTAACCCGATTCTGTTTCATTGCTTCCCTAACCGCGCTGACCCTCGTAGCTATCTCTACAAGACGAAGGGCAAGAAATAGAAGTAGCACGCACACGATGGGTGGCATAATAGGGGCTCTAAGAGGAGCCGAGCGAAGAGCAGCCTCATGTGACCCGAGACTGAGATGAACGTCCGAAAGCAGTCGGTTGCCGTTTATATCGGTGTCAAACGGCACAGTGCAACAACAACCAGCACTCTTCTCAGTTTGGTGACGCTTGACGTAATTTGGAGCCTGGGTGGCAGGTACTTTCTACTCGGTCAATTGTTTGGGTTTTCGGTGTACACTAGGTGTTCAGGACAATTCATGCCTTTCCGATTACATTGCCGTGGACTACTGCCTCTGGTCAGAACGACAAAAGGGGAGAAGACTAAAGAACAAATCGTGAAATTCATTGACACGAAGCCACTGATGAAAAAGTTCAGCGACAGAGTCCTGCTATCTGTCAGTCCCCCTCTCCACCTCTTCCTGCCTCTTCTCTCTCTCTCTCTGTCTCTCCATCTCCAAGAAAATTCCAACAACCGCTGATCTGCTACTATATAGTTCAGCGCTTTGGCTACCGAGAAAAAAAAGAGTCGAACGCCCATACGCCTGCCGCGCCCGACCGAGATAATCCTTACATCCCCGAAGACCTGCCCAATACAATCACCACGCTGGCGACACTCTCCAGCTCGCGCACTTCCACGGGCACCGGCAACTTGCGCTCCCCTTGAAGCAAACGGCCTGGCCCTGGGTTCACGTCACGCGGTTGTTGTGCACCTCGCGCAGGCGCTTGACCCAGTGCTTCCGCAACGTGGCGGGCATCTTACAGAAGACCATGGCCTTGTTCTCGTCGGCGAGGGCCTTCTCGGCAATCTTGAGCTGAAGGTCCATGTCTTCGTCGGCAAAGTCGCGGAAGAAAATGTCCATGGCCTGCTCGGGCCAGCGCGGCGGCGAGCGGGCCTTGAGCGCCTCGGCGATGCGCAGCAGGCCATCCTCCATGAGCTGCTTTCCGGCGGCTGCCATGGAGGCAGTGATGGCGTCGCTCTGCGTCGTGAAGGCCGGAGTGGATGCCGAGGCGGCATTCGCAGAGCTTCCTGGTGTTGAGACGCTGGCGCTGGAATAACTCGAGATGCGACGTCGCTTCTCGGGGGGCTGGCCGGTGCCGATCGTCGTGGGCGGGCCCATGGGGGCTGCCGGAGCCTTGTTGGCTTCGCCAGTGGGTGGTTGCTGGGCCGCATGGTTGCCGGGGAATCTTCTGCGACCAACGGCCGTCTCTTCAGGTGGTGTTAGTGCGCTGGTTCCCGCAATGTGGTTACGAGGCGGGATGGCGGTGGATGTCGGACGCTGTGCTTGCTGCTGCGCTTGTTGCTGTTGTTGGGCCTGCTGTTGGGCCTGCTGTTGGGCCTGTTGCTGCTGCTGTTGTTGTTGTTGTTGCTGCTGCTGCTGCTGCTGTTGCTGGGGCATGGACATTTGATGATGGACAACAGGCGACGGCTGGCCCATCGACGATCGAGGCTGCTGGGGCATGGCGGGTTGCGAGGGCGGGCGATATGGCGAGTCGACTTGCAAGTCGAGCACGCCGGTGCCGGGCATCTCGATGCCATCCTCGGGACCCTGAATGACGTCTGGGCCTTTCCGCTTGGGTTTCATGATGCGCTTCGGTGCGCCGCCCGACCCAATGACGTCGGGGTATAAAATCTCCATAAACTCCTCGTGCTCAAATGAGCGCCCGCGCAAAGCGCGCGACAGAGGCTCTTTCTGGATGGCGAGTCAGCGACAACTCCAACTGAGAACCCTCAAAAACATGACCGAAAAACAGAGAGAGAAAAATAAAATCAAAACAGAGTGCACCGCAACTCACCTCGATATGTGACCTCCAGGCCTCTTCAGTCGCCGTGACAGTTCGCGTATTGGGATTGTAGAGGAACTCGGGGTCTTCGCGCAGACCTCTCCACAGACGAAACTTCTTCCGCGCATTATCGGACTTGTTGACAAGGTGGTTCTTGGTCGGATAGGCGGCGTGCTTCTCCTGCAGAGCGGCGGCGGCGCGATCCCAGGCCTCTGCTTTAAAGCTGTGATTCTCGCGCAGGCCGAGCTGGACGGCCTCGCAGAGGGCGCGAAAGAAGGTAGCCTCGTAGGCTGGGGTCCAGCTGAAGCGCGGCGCACGCTTGTCGCGATCGGACGAGGCGGCTAGGCCGGACGGACCATCGATGGAAAACTCGTCGTCCGACATGACGGGGCGAGGGAGCACCGGGCGAGGCGCGATGCCGGTATACAGTGCCGGCGAAGGGCGAACGGGGCGGGATGAGGCTCAATGTGGATGTTGCTGAAAGGGATCGTCGCAGGTCGGGACCGAAGCCGCACGCGCGGCGGTCGTCGGTCGGTCGATGGTGGCGAAGAAGTGGAGGAGATGGATGGGACACCGGTGGCGATGCAGTATTGGGTCGCGGGTCGTGGGGGGAGGGGATTCGTTTCGGGGGGGGGGGCACCGTGTCGCAATGTGGCAGGCAGGGTCTCGTGGCCGTAGCTCGCTCTTCAGGGTCGCGGGTTGCAGGGTCGCAGGGTCGTAGGGTCGCAGGGTCAGACGGAGACTGTTGAAGGCGAAATCAGCGAGGCTGGTCCGGATGGAGCCCTGTCAGCGTTCCCTGCAGCGCGCAGCACCTTGAATGCCTCAGTTGTACCACCCAGGACAGGTGAGGTAAGGCAAGGCAGAGGCAGAATAGGTGGGCAGGGTCCGAGGGTCTGTCTGTCTGAAAGGCCTGAGGGCCTGAGGAGAGCCGCCTGGAGAGGCTTGACAGCGGCGAGGCGAGCGGGGCAGACAGCGAAAGGACCCCCGGCAGACGGACGCCGACGCTGGGGGGTGGGTGGCCCCGGTCGGGGAACGAATGTGGTTGGCTGGTATGAAATCGACCAATGAGAGAACTGGACGCGTCAGAGGAAATCACGTGGCCGGTCATGTTTTCTCTCCGGAACTCCGCTGTCGCTTGCCTCTCCTTGCTCTCCTTGCTCTCCTTGCACTCCCCACCTTGTCGTTCTGCGTCAACGCCGAATCAGAAGGCGGGAGTCAGTTCCTTCTGGTGGCCCTCGGGTGGCTGACACGAAGGGCTGACAGCAACACTACATGTACCTATCGGCTGAGCGGCAGAATGTCGGTTGTTCGCTGGAGATGGGATACCTGCAGGTCTCGTCTCAACTCAACTCGGCTCGTTTCTCCCCACCTCGATCCCTCATCGTTGAGGCTTGTATCGTCGAGGCTATCGATTTCCGCGCCAGCCACTGCATGACGCTTCCGGGGCAACTGCTACTTCGTGTTCCGTGAGAAGTGTTCTAGCGAAAGCTTCCCTTGCCGTGGAGCTGGAACTCGTCGTTTCAAGCCAGGCAAGCCTGAGTCAAGACAAAGAAGGGGGAAAAGGAACTCGTGCGCCGCCAGCAGTCAAGGGCGTCTGCTAAGCGTTTGGTGGCCCGTCCTTTAGGCCACTTCGTGGACCAACTTGCGGTCAAGCAGCATTCGACAACGATGCCTGTCGCTTCATGGTTGCGAGTAGCAATGGAAGAGCATGCATCACCGAAAAAAAGGGCCATGCCGAGGCCTCCTGTTGAAGTGTCAGTGCGAAACTGACTGCTGGGAGACCAGCTGCCACATGTTTACGACGGCATCTCGTTTCCGCCGCTGTTATTCTTGACTATGCATTTCCCACAGGATTCGGCCTTGTGCTGGATAGAACGGCAAAGGCCATGATGCTTGGAGCCCGGTTGTCAGCGAAAACA